CTCTTTGCTTTTTGAGGACTACATCTTCTCAGCACATCTCTCCAAAAGCATCGTCTTCAACGCGGCTTTTGATCAACGTCTCGCAATTATTTTCACTCACTCAGCATCACTTCCGTCTTCTTCTTTTGTTCTTTCCAAATCATTACATGTCTTCTCTTAGTTCCACCACCTGTTCATCTCTGTCATTATCTTTCTCGTAAAGTATAAAACAATATGACAAACCCCCCCGCCCCAAACCTTCTGACTCACTTCTACTTCAATTTGTCGGCATCATGTTGGTCACACCTGGAGCCCTCCTCCCATCGCTGTGCCTCTCCGCTCCGTACCGTCGCTCCTCTTTCCCACTCTGACCATCACGGCACGTTTCCATTATTCATTCCTCCTCCGCGTCGTATCCCTCTGCTCCTCATCACCAGCCTGGACCCTGTCACGATGCGTTATAAGGGGGGGGGTATCTGGTCTAGTTGTAAATGCTTCAAAATGGCTTCATGCTGTACTTTCATATTGTGGCCACACATTTAATATCAAACATTTTGTCAGGAACTGGGACAAGATTCTTTTTGTTGTTGTTATCAATTTCGTTTTGTGTTCATATACGTTTGTTTGAATCTGTCGGGGATGCAACTTCCTTTTCTGGAAGTTGTAATATGTTATTTTGCAGGAACAAATTAAACTGCTAAATACAACCTCTAATATACTCTTAGATTAGATTACTCTGAAATTGCTTTCTCTCCCCTCAGCTATTTTCATTTCCACCTCGTTGTCTTTTGACATTTAATATTTATTTTATGATCCTTAATGAGCTGGGGCCCACTGAGTAGTTTCCTTAATAGTAATTACAGCCTCTCCCCATATTACTTGGTGAGAGAATTCCTCCGGTGGAGTAACAGGGCATTCACTTATTTTTTCTAATTCAAATCCGGAAAGACATGGAATATGTTTTTATCCAATTTTAACAACAAAGATCAGCGTTTCTTTTTTCTGATTTGGATTTTCCTGTTTTATTTAGCTTTTAATGTTCAAGCGTTCGTGCTTTAAAATAAACAGAGAAAGTCTGACCCTGAAAACGTCCTGCTGAGAAGTCTTGTAACCACAGACAAATGGACGACGGCGGCCGTGTAGTCTGCTGGAAGCGTGTCATACACAGGGACTAACATGCCTGAGACACATGTGTGAGTGTGCGCGTTTGAGTTTGTAGCTTGAGGTGTTAGAAGTGCGAGCAGGCCTCGCTTTGAAAGCCTATAATTCTCCTAAATTACACACAGCGCTCTGACATGTTCTTCTAACTGGGAGTAGTTCAGCGCTTTGCAGCAGTTGTTTGTTTTTTTTGGCCCTGAATCAAAGTGTGCCTGGGCATAGAAACACCTGAAAGCTGTTGCTCCCGAGGGCGAAACTGAAAAACCGATGAGTGTTGTAGCCAAATTCTGTCATCAAGGACAGGAAGAGAGATGAAGCAGAGTCCCTGTTTGTGTGTGTGTGTGTGTGTGTGTGTGTGTATATAATACGCTTCAATTGTCCCATTAGCCCAGTTATTTATCTGTTTCTCATCAAACCCCGCCTCACTAAACACTTCCTGTCCACGAAAAGGGGCTGAACATTAAAGGTTACAGGGTCGCAGTGTGTCAGTCTGTGACTGTGAATGTGCACTTGTGCATTTGTGTCTCCGTGTAGCGACGGCTGAACGTCTTGTGTTTGTCACCATCAGGTACTTCTACACTAATAAGATAATTCGTGTTTCTGTGCGTGTTGTTTACGTTTTTGCGGTTGGATCACAGGAGTGTACATGTGGAAATGAGTGCCGACATGCCGGTGCAAGTGATCTGTTCCCCACCTGAAACTCCATGCCTGGTGAGGGGAGATTTGGACCATATGGTACACAACAGGAAACATACTTATCACACGCAACACACAGCGGCATGAGAACACAACATGGTCTGGCACAGCGCAACGACCCCCCCGCACCCCCCCCCCCCCCCCAGCCCCCAGAGTCTCGGGAATCATCAGAGTAAGAGCTACCTTCATCATACAAAAGAAAACGTGCAGAGATTGAGAAGGCTTAGAGCTGTTGTGTGTGTGTGTGTGTGTGTGTGTGTGTGTGTGTGTGTGTGTGTGTGTGTGTGTGTGTGTGTGTGTGTGTGTGTGTGTGCGTTTTGTGAAAATGTTCCCCCAGCAGAGACAGCATTTCATCCCCTGCAGTCTATCTGACACCGTCACAATTTGCCCGGTGCTGCTGGAAACAGAACACCTCTAATCTCAAAAACTAATACATACATTCACAACAATGTGCCTCTGCAGCACTGCTATTCATGATATACATCTATATATTTATAGATATATATTAGCATAGGGCTACACATGCAGACATATTATCCTCTCTGTACGGTGTCCTTGAACATGTATTTACATGCACAGATACACACACAAATCAAATTGACACTAGCAGCAGTAGCATAGAGCCTCTTTATGGTTCATTCATTCATTTAATAACCTAATTCTCTCTTTGTGTGTCTCCATCACACACATCTCATGGGGCCGTAATGGTGCTTTGCCAAGACAATCTATTGTGGTAGGTAAGACCAAGCATATTATTCAAACAGAAGAACCGGTGTGCTCAACTCAGCTGTTCTTCAGAGGGAAATGCAACACCCGCCTCTTTTAAAGGCAGCACTCACATAATTGTGAGTAACACTTTTAATAATGCACAGTAGCAGAACGGAACGGAGGAGTTTCAGCTGCAGACTTTCCTCACCATTTCTCCAATTATATTCACCAAAACGAGAAACAGATTTTGATGGACAATATTGTCCTTGTGCTGGTTTCTCAGGTTCAGTAAGAGAATAGCGGATATGTTGAATATATTATGTCCAGTGTTGGACAAATCTTTTCCCCCTTGATTCACAAAACTTTTAATGTTGTGCTTTGTATATTTCATCCAGGGCCCTGGGCTTTTCAAACCATTGCAGTTAATGTTAGCTTTAATTTTGAGGGAATGATACAAGGCATAAAAGGGGCCAAAGAGGGTGCTCCTTGTTGGGCACGGACGGTATAGATTGTAATGCTGTTGGATGGCTTCCCCACAGAGGTCAGTTGTGTTTGTAAGAGAACCTCTGCCAAACAGAGTAACTCTGCCCTCATTTTATGTATAAAAATAGATTTTTGTTTTCCTTCCACAGCCAACACTCTGTGAAGCAACTATGTTTTGTTGGTCTCCAATTATCTTTTGAATCTTCTTATTATGACACTGCATGAACAGGCATATGATGTACTCTCAAAATGGACAGGTTGTTAGTTGAATTAAAAGGATTTAGCGTTTTCTTTTGCACAGTTGGATGAGATCAGTGCATGACCCAAAAGACTGCTAGTCTGAATTTAAACTGACACAGCAAAAGAGCTTGTTGACGCTCAATAAAGTCCAGGACGTCACTGCACCCAACTGTACTGTCAAGAAAAAAACAAATTATTTTTTGTTACTTTCATGTGGATGTTGGAATGACTTAAATAATATCTGAGAAGTTCAGAGCTTAAGAAGAGTGATTGTGCTGTAAATTGCGACTGACTAGCTGCTACCATCCTTTTTGCCTCCCAGCTACAGTTTAACACTTAAAGAAGACATCATCTTTTAAGGTCCATACTTTTTGCAATAGAACATGTTTACATTCTCCGTTTTGCAATAGTAACTTTGTTGGATGTGCAAGTTTTTCCAAATTCACTTTCTTCCTCTTTTTTATTTTTGCTACTTTAAAAAACAAAACTCACCCGGTTCCCATTTTCCATGACTAATCAAGTGTTCCTCCAATTAGAGGCTGTACTCAAAGTATTGTAATAAACCATTGATGGCTGGGTTGTCTTGTTTTCGTTTGTGGGTTTGCAGACACTCCAGGAGCCCAAATGTACATGCACAAGCACAACATTAATTTAGTTCATCATTACATGTCCCCTCTAAAGCACCGACAAGAGGGTGGTATCAATCTTCTCAGAGCCATCCTGTTACTGGTGTATTATTAGACGGGAACTACTTGAGGTACAAAATACACAAAAGTGAAGCAGCAGATCAAAAGATGGAAAGATATGGAAAGAGGTTGCTTTCAAAAACAAAACCCTACACAATTTGACCAATAGAATGATTGTGGCGTGAATGTATTTCACCTGTAATGGTCAGTGTGAGGATAAGTATCATGTGTGCTTTTTATTATCCAAACTTAATGTAAATAAACATTAGATTCACATTGCTTTTCAATTTAAACTAAACTAGCTGAGATGGACACAATAAAGATATTCTGTTACAGTTGACTGACAATGTTAATTGTAACAGAATCAGAAAAAAAACATTTTCTGCTTGGTAATGAACACGATTCCCAGTATAAGTCAAACTGAAGGTCCAAACCCAGAACTAAATAAGAACAGTGCATATATAGATATGTAGATGCATTAACCATTCACACATTTTAATGCTGTATGTGTGTAAGATGGTCATAAAAATACTTTATGCCGTCTCCCGAAACACTGACCTTAACAGAAAGTCACTGATCTGTTCCAAACATGATATACTGTGTGCATGTGTGTGCACCTAAATGTGTCTCTTAAGGTCTGTGCACACATGCAATGCTTCCGCGTGGTTACGTGTGCACAATAATGTGTGTGTGTGTGTGTGTGTGTGTGTGTATGTGTGTGATGTTATGTACAGCTAGCAACAGTACATCTCACCAGCCATCATTAACTTTGACGTACAGCCAAATGTCATTATGCACGGACGACTGCATGATTTACCGTTGGAGAGATAATGGAGTGACTATTATGTAATGAACTTGGCGAGAGTTTGATATAAGGGTCTCTGCTGGAGGGAAAGAAGTAAATACTATGTCTGCGATGGCAATGATTACATTGACAACGATAATGATGAAATTACCCTCCTGAGGATGGAAGGAAGGGGAACTATTGAAGACCTTTGATGATTTGACAGACAGACACTGCTGGAGGGAGACAAGCGCTGATGATACTGATTATGGAAAAGTTCAGGCAGTCTTTTATAAATGAAGATTTTAGGGGCCGCAGGGTGTCCTTTTGGTCACCCTGCGTTTGACAATCCCGACGGAGAAGACAATGAATTATTATTCTTTTTTTATGAGCTCAAAAAGATATCTTACTGTCAGCCAAATTATTTGGATACATAAGAAATGACGGAAGAAAAGCCCCATAGTACACTTTAGAGTGGAAATAGGAAAAAAGGACAGAATTGCTGCTACTATTACTAAAAAAGTAAAAATTATTTGGAGGTAATATTCTTATCACAAAATTCAAACACAAAGCACAGCTGACTTTCCTCCCATCAGTCAGACACTGCCCTCTAAAGGCAAACAGTCAAAATAAACTCCTGAACCACATCTTTAGTCTTCCTGCCCTGAAATGTCCCTCACTAGTCGAGTGTCAGTTTACATCATCACTTCATAATCTTTAGTGGACACAATAGTAAAACAGCTAACTTTTAACTGTTATATATATATATATCACAATGTTTTCAGTAGATTTGACAAAGGCCAGCTAAATATGTCAGAGCTGTTTTGACAGAGCTGTTTTAAAGTGGCAACAAACCTCTATTTTTAAAAGAGATGACAAACTGGTGATTGAGCCAATAGCTTACTGATTCAATTATTGTAATACTTTTAAAATTAGCATCTGAAAAACATCCACGTGTTACAGTTTTACTTTATTGTGTACAAACAAAATGCAAATATACACATAAATCTAAAAGGTTCAAGCTCATCAACGAAAAGACTTAATAGGCTGTAAGAAATGCCATCGCTTTCACTTACACCAGGACGGACAAAAGTACTGCCACTTAAACGTGTGCAGTGTCTTCTTTGCAGCCGCAGAAGGGAAAAGTCCCACAGCAGGGCTGGAGCCAGGGCCTCCACAGAATCCTGTCCAATGTCATCTGGCTCTGGGCGCTTTGGGCCCCTGCGTGCGGACCAGGACCCTCAGACAGCTGCTGCTTTGTGAGGGAATCTCTGTGTCTCTCCACAGCCCTGGTGGTCTGCTCGAGGACTTCGGCATATCGCGGCTCAGCGTCAGGGGTCAGCGGGCGGGACTCGGAGGGGTCGCGGAAAAGGTCGTACAGCAGCGGCGGGTTGTGGTGGGTCACGTGCTCCCCGTGACACAAACAGATCTTGGTGTCGTAGCAGCCGCCGGCTCCCGGGGGAGAGAAGTTAGGGGTGAAAAGATGCGCCTTGAAGACCGAGTCAGCTGGATGGAAACAGACCAACCAGATGTGAGCGTTCACGTGTTAACAGAATATACTGCCATAGGAGCAACATTTCTAAGTTGCTCTAGATTTTATACCTAATTTGTTTCTGTCTGTTTTTTGTGACTCTAATTTGTAATGTATTATAATGAGCCTGCATGTGACATGTGAATCTGAACGTGTAAATGTGTTACTTTCATGATGTTTCACTACAATGCTGCACTCTGCTGCTCATACAAAACAACAACAACAGACCTTATAATAGCAGCACATATTTGTCTGCTAAATGATAAACTGCTATGAGTCTACATGTGTGAACTTACTTCCAGCCGGGTGCCAGCGTACCGCATTCAGGTACATTCCACAGTAGTGGAACATGAATTCATGCTCAGATCGCTCGACCTTTCCCTCCAACAGCGGCATTAGGTTAAAGCCATCTGATTGTCTGGGAGAGGAGTGCGATGGAAAGAAGGGGGTGGGAGCGTTACCACAACAGTGAACGTAGGTACGGTACCCGAGAGGCGGGAGTATCGCAAATTTGTCCCGTCAAACAGGACTCATCGAATGAGATTTGCACACAATACAAAGAAAGCTCTCGTAATCTTTACCTGTCTGGTTGTGTGTCTTCGGCCAAATATTTCAGCGTTGGATACAGGTCCATGAGGCTAGTAGGCTCGTCCACCACTCTTCCAGCTGCCAGTCGGCCAGGCCAGCGGAAAATACCAGGCACCCTGATCCCCCCTTCCCAGCCTCCCATAGCTTTCCCACCTACAGGGGAAGGGGATTAAGATACACAGCAGTGAATGCAGTAAGAGACATGTGCGCATTGTGTAGCTGTGTGTAACCAGAACAGCGTACGTTGACGCCTACCTTTATAAATGCCGTTCCAGCCTCCTTTCTGGCCGATCGTGGAATCAGCGTCCTCTATGTGTCCACCATGGTCCGATGTAAAGTACATCAGAGTGTTGTTGGCGAGGCCGAGGGACTCCACCGTCTCTGTAATCTTACCTAACAACATATCGACAAAGCATCAGAGATGGTAGGGAAGAGGGTTCAACCTCCACACACAAATAGCAACTGTCCTTACGGTTAACGGTTTGGTTTTATTCTTGTGGTTTGAGAGTACTTATCATATATACAGTGTACAGGTAGAACCCACTAATGGTGGTATTTTTGCACCTTTGTTAAATGTTGCACTGGGTAGTGGATGGACAATCGGGCTGGTCCACCGCTCTCAAACCAGAACCCAGGAGGTCACGTTTAGCAACGCGAGCCAACATGTACTCACCGATCATCCGGTCCACTTCTTCTATGTTATCACCGTAGCGACCATGGCGACTTTTGCCAGCAAAGGCGGGCGTTTTGAAGAGCGGCGTGTGGATATGGGCCAATGAGAAGAAGAGGAGGAATGGACGATCGACATTCCTGAGGGGGAGAAGTTTTTATCTCTGATATAGCTCATCCGCTGGGGGCCAAACACCTCCAGTGATGTCCGAGAACAAACAGCCACATGAAATACCAAACCCATCAATGCGCCACATATAGACTTGTGTCGAGTCGATCCCACCTGCACTGTCCTGGTGCAGCAAATACTCTCGGGTTTATGCTTTTGATGCCATTCTCTGTTTGACACAAAAAATATGTACCTCTTTATAAAGTTCTGTGCTTCTTCCAGCAGCCTGTGGGGCAGCGTCTCCACTGTCATCGGCTGTTCGATCACTTCTTGGTTCCTCATGATGATGCAGTTCCATGTGCGCAGCTGTTTGAAGGGTACGTACCACACAGCGGCTGCTAGGATACTGAGAAGGCCAAGCGCTACCAACAGCCCCAGGCGGACTTCAAGGAGGCCACACACACGCACACACACCTGAAAACGCGTGCACGCTCCAGATTAAACCACTGCCATTCTGTTCACAGATGCTGTATGCGATTCATAAATCCAGTCAAGTTAGATTATGTATTTAAAACATAAATATATCAAATAGATTATGTCTAAAACATATTTGACGTTAATATCTCCATAACTGCAGAAGCGGGACTGCTGCACTGTATTGTGCTGCATGTGTAATATTGTGGTACCAGAACACTTTGTGTTACTGTCTGCGACGTCGCCACTAGATGGCGCAACAGACCCTTACCAGAGAGGTCACTCGTTTTCAGGAGTTGAAATTGATAGTACATTGTGTACTTTGTATATAAAGTAGAGTATTTAGATATAGTTCCTCCTACTAGTTACTCTTAATTGTTATTTAATTGTGGATTTTGTACCATCCCATCGTTTTCCTCTTGTCAGACTTGTCAGGTTTTTCCTGTTGCTGTCATCCTTCAGGGAGTTACTGAGTCGAGTTTCAGTTTCCTTATGAATTTGCTTTCCCATCAAACACGTTTACTGGCTGCCGTGACGATACATTTCACAATTGCAGCTTTTGTTTTTCAAACCTGTAGCTCTGGTCTTCTTGATGACACATTAGTTATTTTGCTCTTGGCCAAATGGCACAGCCACTCTTTATTTTCTCCCCGTTGTATTGCACAGTATCTCCTTTTGGTTTCCATCTCTTTCTCATGATATCTGCTGTGCTCATACTGTGATCATTTGCAGGGAAAAACAGCTGAACAGAAAACATTCAAATAATAAATCACACGTACCAGTGACAAGAGTCCAACTCCAAGCATTGCGGTCAGATTTGCCAGTGCATGCTGGATACCTGCCATGATGTCGCTCCCTTCTCCGGGCACACAGTCATTGAACAGAGTGAACGGCAGGCCGTAGAAATAGCTGAAGCCGTGCTGGTTTGGATGGTGGCAATGGTCCCCCCTCGTTTCACAGTTCACACCCAAGTGCCACTTACCTGTAGAGACAAACAGAGATAGATAGATGGAGGACTGGACTCAAAAAACACAGAGGAGAAACAATACGATGGTAATGGGGATACACGGCAGCCTTTCATTTTGCTAAATGGTTTCATTTCAACATCCTACAAAAACACGTGGGACTCCTTCTGTGACTTGGGTCTCAACAGAGAAAATATCACACACTTAACCACATATGTGTCGACCGTTGATGCGCCTGACTGCCTCTCAAATTTCCCACTTCTGTCGTTGTGTTACGTACCCCAGAACCAATCATAAAATTAAGTCACATTACCCACTAGGCCGGTGGTGTATCCGTTTAGCTGCAGCCTTTTAGCAAAGGTGGTCTCAGATGCTGGCAGCCCCCCTGAACCACCAAGGAACAGCAGCACCTGCACGCCGCCTGCGCTTGCCAGTCCTAGCCGACAGACACACAGATGCAGAACACTAAATGAAAAAAGACTACGGAAAGCGCTGTCGAACACCGCCGTGCAAATGTGACCCAGCTGCTTCTTTCTGGACTAACTTTGTTACCTGAGCGCAGCGCATAGCGGCCCGTCATGAAAGCGGCCCGGCTCGGGGTGCACAGGGGAGCGGCCGCAATGTGCTGAGTCAACTTGACCCCCTCAGAAGCAAGTCTGTCTATGTTCGGAGTCCTACGGGGACAGAGCAGGTGTAAATGGGTGTAGCTGAATGGATTGGACAGAAGGATACAACTAAAGAAACAAATGACCATTTATTTCCCGGGCAGTACATCAGATTAAGACCAGCCGCAGAAGTAATGAAATACCTGACATGATGCAATACGCCGGCTGTGATGGTGATAAAAGACCATGTTAACTAGAAAGGTGTCCTCGGTGAGCGCGGATCTCCGGCAGGTGCGTCTGCAACGCCCGCTGCTGTGTGGGTCCTTTTCCCAGCAGCCATTTCACATGTCATTGCAGGGGGAACTCCGGTGTAAATAATAACATTCATTATGGCCCTGATCTAGTTAGGGGGGCCAGAGTCTTGGCATTGGACATGCTGGCTCACGGGAGGGACTGTGACACACTAAATAGAGTGAGAGCATAATTCATTTGATCAATTACACCTCCAAGGTTACACAAGCAATGGACTCTGAATCGTGTTATTCACTTTACTGTCGTGCCCGAACGCAAAAGGTATAAACTCAGCGAGCTGTCTATTCGCTCGGCTGAGGCTGAGTGCAGGCGAGTTACAGGATTACTTACGCCTGGGAGAGATAACAATGAATAGGAGGTGTCAGAAAATGGAATCAATGGAGCAGACAATGGGCACGCCAAAGGGGAAGAGGCACACAGAAACGTAAGCATCACGAATAGAACTGACCTGACGGTGTCGTTACCGTAGCATCCGACATCCCCGATTCCCAGGTCGTCCACCATCATCAGGACGAAGTTGGGCTTCCTGTCGACCTTCTCTCCTGTGACATCTCCACATCCTACCAGGAGGAGAAGATGTGCCAATAGGAGGGACCTTCGAGTGAAAGATTTCAAATGAAATGTCAGATTTATTTGACAAACAATTCCGAGAGGCCTGAGCAGTGTGCAGGAATCAGATGCATCTATCAGTTGGCGTTGGCAGATTGAGAACTAACTCTACAGTGAAATTTAGGTGTTGTAAGAACATGAAAGCACCAGGAGTTATGTTCCAAATAGCATACTTTTTTCTTCGAGTACATACTGCAGCTGTCATTACAAAGCATGTTCTGTCGTATTTATTCAGTTGAGACATATTAACTCTTGCTAACACTATACAGTGACCTTTGTACCAGCTCGCTGAAGTATCTGCTGCCACAGTATTGGTGTTCAAACCATCTAGAGAAGCCTACTGGCATGCATACTGCAAAATACAGCAGGATAAACCAGGACTACACTTTGTATCGGGACAAACAAAATCTTTTTCTGGCATATCAGATAGTATGTAAGTATGGGTATATTGGAACAATGTCTGGTTTGTCTGTTTTGCGCTTCTGTAGAAACATAAAGGATTGACTCGAGGTGGACACGATTCTGAAGCTTAGATAAAACATTTCACATTGATTTGTGGATAGAAATTTCAGTGTGTATTGACATTTTACATACAAAGGATTTATTGAGAAAATGTTTAATTATATTATAATATTTGTAATAGCTGACACTTTTATCCAAATGGCATTCAACCATCAGGGTACACAACCAAAACAACAATAATTAATAAAATACAATTTCTTCAAGAAAGCAAAACAGTGCTATAAATAAGTGCAACTTAAGATGCACTAAAGTGCCATGTTACGTATTCCAGGTATAGTCGGCAGCGGTGTGTTTTTAGGAAGATGTAACCTATTTACTTTTCTGCTGTTATTATGATACAAGTTATTAACAGCTGCGTATGGAGGACACAATGTAATAAGAAGTATAACTAAATGCATGAATGAATGTACAAATAAATACATGGCTAAATAAATGCATGAATAAATAAACAAATATATACATACATACGTTCATAAATATAAGTGATACCTAAACGGGACATAATTAAACAAATCTATTTCTACATTTCTGTATTTCTTCATTTAATTTCGGCATTTATTTATTCATGTTATTATTTAATCCATCATGTATTTCAGCATTTAAATATTTCTGTATTTATTTCCACATTTATACATGTATTTATTTATCTATACATTCATTTAAGCATTTACTTATTTATTCCTGTATTTATTCAAGCATTTATTTACATATACTCAAGTCAGTTTATTATGGGATTATGGGTTTGTAAAATGTCGCATGTTCTGAAAAAAACTGCAGTTTTGCTACATTTAGCCTTATCATATGAACAAAAAAGCGCGACAATATTCATTAGTCACAACATTTAGAGAGAAATTCATGTAAATTCATGCAATAACTTTTCCAAGGATAATGTTTGGCCTTAAGACAAAGTTGTTGAATAATATAAATGTTAAATATAAATATAAATGTAAATGTTATATCTTGTAAAATGTTAAATGTAAATGTTAAATATAAATGTTAAATGTTTACATTTACATTATTTAACAACTTTGTGTTACTGCCAAACATTATCCTTGGAAAAGTTATTGCATGAATTTCTCTAAATGTTTGAAAAAGTGACTTTTTGTGACACGAATATTGTCGTGTTTTTTTTGTTCATATGATAATGCTAAATGTAGCAAAACTGCGCAGGATTTTAGAACGTGCGACATTTTACAAACGGCGGCCCAGTTTCTGTCCTCGACAGCTGTGCGTGAACGTCGCTTCAGACTCCTCCCACAAGCAAAATCATTGCAGCCGACTGCCAGGCTCTTATGTAAATATGAGCCATTTTCTTTAACTATTTGAGGTTTATTTTGCCCAGGTACTTTTTCCTCCTCCTACAGAAGGTCCGCCTGAAAACCTCTAATGAGGTTAAAGTCGAGACGGATCTCCTTCACTGCGGCACAATAATAACTATCTACTCAAAGCCAAAGTGTCCTGAAATGAACTGTCAGAGAGCAGGATTGAAAACCCCTGTGCTGCGTTGCACTGTTACCCCAACAAATAATACACATCTGCAACTAGTGTTTTATAAACTGTGGCAAAGGGTGCCGCTTGCGGTCAGACCCGCACGTTTAAATCTAAACAGTTCCACGCTGGTTTGACGTCGTTTCACTGTTCGTGGCTCATTCGTGGCTTAAGAAGACATCGCACGTGCGGTGGTTTAAAATGCACAAAGGCGGTTTACCATGAGTGAACTTACCTCATACCTGCACAGTTAAGAGACTCATACAGTTAAAAAGGATGTGGCACATTTCCTTGCCCGCCAGCCGGACTCTACCGTAATGACGAGCCTCTGAGCGCACGACCACATTGGCGTTCACGTGTGGAGTAAATGCGCACAAGAAAAGTCATTTTGAAACGTCAAGATCCCCGCCTTTTGCTTTAGCTTCATAATCACGACGATGCAGTCTTCAGCACTTAGGTTATACAAATCCAACTATATAACTACTATGGAATGCGATAAATAATCAAACAAAACACAAGTTCCCACGAAAACGGTTTATTGACTCCTAAAACATTAGTTACACAATTCCAGATGAACAACACAAGTGCCAGATGAAAAAGAAAAGAAAAAAAAAACGTTCATAAAGAAATTTAAATAAAAAGCAAGAGTCACTTGGCTAAATCAAATACGAATTGTCTAACATGTTTAATAAATCAAGACGTATACAGGATAGAGAAGGAAAGTGCTTCTCCCATAGAGGTTGTTATTAAAATCACCTGTAAAACATCTCTGCTTGTTTCATTGTTTACGTTGTCATGACGACGTATCTTCTCTGCTTTCCTCTCTGGGATGTTGTAAGGCAGGACCGGTCAGTGCACTTTGGGACCCAATAAGTTTACAATATCCTTGGTTTTACATTCTGGTTTTGTGTCTACAAGGAATGTGACATCTTGGGACTTTTAGACCAGACCGTGATGCTCAAAACACAAGCATTCCTTGTGCGATTTTAAGGGCTGTATTGTTGCTTCACTTTCCTTTAAGGTCTCTGATTGTGACCCGCAGCGCACTACTGTATTGATTCCATATACACTTATTGGAGTGCAAACGGAGAGGAGGATGTTATGTTTTTGAAGGCAACATCTGAAAGCGTTCACGGTTATTTTGTGGGTATTTTGTGCATTATCGCTCCATGCCGTTGTAGCAGATGCAGTGAGCGTGATTTAAGACACACTTTCCTCTTAGTTAAAAAAAGTGTCAAGAGTAGTTCTATCAAAGGTTAAAGAAGGAGAAGGCATTTCATTCAGAGCTTTGACCCAGAGTCCAGCCCACAGTAGGATTAATCAATAGTGACATCACAGACAATTAATCATTTTCGTTTGGAGGCTAGGCTGTTAGAAACAGTCTCTGTCCTGTATTGCAGTTATATAGTGCTTAAGACTTTACATGAGCTGCGGCACTATGCAACCCTATTTCAAAATTTAAAGGGAGCAGAGCAAGTAGAAAACTGCAAGGCAACAAAAAGACATTCAGAAGTTAAGATTTTTTTTTTTGTGCTACAGCTGCAGAAAAAAACGGTAACTGTTGGGATTTTTTCTTTTTTTTTAAAGCACTAGCGCTGCTTCTGAGGCGTTTCACAATAATCAACCACTGCCAGAATAAAATGCATATAAAATCACAAGTGAATGGAGGTTGGCGTATGGGCGATTAAAAAAAAAAAAGCACTGACGGCCTCTGGCTTGCTCAAAGCAGACACACAGAGAGGATATTTTCATGGCGGAAACGTGAGGCTGTTTAAAGAGTTTGTATGCAATATTGGTTACAAAAAAATGCACTTGAAGTAAAACAGTAAGTAGCCCACTAACTGCAAGCTATAAGAATAATGCAAGTTTCACATACATGAACGGTCCGCGGAGAGGCTTTGCAACCACCTAAATTATTAAGAATTAATCAAGATCTTCCTCAATGGTCTCTTTATATTTGAATACATTCCACCACTGTTTTGCCTGTTCTAACTGTTGTCCGATCTCTCTTCCCTGTGTGTCAGTAGATTGGTCAAGCCAGGCTCAGTGAAAGGCACTATAGAGGATAAATTACTGCATCACAACTAGACTGCCACATAATACATCAGAACGTTGTCTAATACAATACAACACAATTGCAGTTGATTAGGTCAATATCAAGAGAACATTCATCCGTTGACAGAAACAGGGTTCGACGACTAGTCTACTTCACTTTTATGTGTTCATGTAGAATTATCAAATACATGAACGTTTGTTTGATCAATTTGCAATGAATAAACTGGTTGTTGTTTTTTAGAAAGGATTTCACTTTTGTTTAGTTGGAAATGTCACTCTTTCCTGTGATTTATTGAACTGACTCAGGAGAAGGTGTAGTCACTCAACAGGATTTGAATGTCCTTCGCCACCCATAGAATAGACACACAATCACACACGCACACAGTGACATCACTGTAATCTATCCTGTGCTATTTCCCCCATTGGCAGAATAGACAGCGGTAGTTGTTGAAGCCCCCCCCCCCCCCCCCGGTTTCCATCCATCTTGGATTTGTACCGGAAAAAGAATATTATTATTTTTTAATTAAGTGGCCGTTATGTGTGGGTTGGACATTGACATGATTATCAACCACACCAATAGCCGTCACTGGGTTACATTCACACTGGATTACTAGAACTGGGTAGTAGCCGTACAAATGGAATAGAAAAAAAGGTAGTTCTTTCCTTTAGCCCTTTTATGGTTAGATTGGGATTAAATCTTGACCACACACGTAGAAAGTTTGTCCAATGATGATAAATTGTTCTGTTTTAACAATCATTAAACCCTAAAATGTTCACATATATTTAGTCCCCCACTCACGTATACAGATGTTTTGACTCTCACACACACACACACACATACAAAACCAAACATACCGAGACACACACAAACACACCCACACAGCCCTACTCCAGGGCCTCACAGTAATTTAGCTCCTCATGAGAAGATAGAGCTTAACAGTGAGATTTGCCATCATGCTTGCCAGTAGTGAGTCCAGGCAGTCTTGTGCTCATTGCCGGTCTAGGAGGAGTTCAGCAGGTTACTAAGGACTGCAAACAGGAAGAGGACGGTCAAAATATTACAAAATAACAGATGGGTTTGATCTGTGTTTGTGTCTTATTCGTTCATGTGTGCCTTTTTGTGTCCTACCCTGGGGATCCGACTGAGCCTCTGTTGTGTCAGCTTTGCGTGCAGCTTCTGGATCCGCTTCTAAAGTGACAAAGATCGATCAAAGTCAGACTGATGCGCACAGACGGACAAAAAAGCAGCAGACAAAATCCTCATGTGGCCATTTGGATTTCACGCAAGCATTTAGTGAATCGAAGTGCAACGGCGGGGGGATTTTCTGAGGATGGTAATGTTTCTCGCCTCTAATTGTCATTATCACCGCTGTGCCAATTATGGATGTTGGGTGTAAAAAAAATAAAACATGTAGTCAAGTCTGCCTGATTACAGCACTCTTACATCACACAGCAGCAGTAAAACAAAAAATATTGAGCTGCAGCTTCATGTTTAAGAAACTACGGTCAAAAAAGGTGCTGTGATCCAGCAAACGTCGAGCTTTCCTACAACAGGTAGGTTTGGTTAATCGGTCGGTGGGATAATTACCTTGTCTATTTTTGAAGCACAGTTTCTTCTGCTGGTAGGTGAAGTATCCAACAATTGCTCCCACTACAGATACCCCAACTGCACTCAGGATGGCTGCTAAGGAGCCGGAGCTGGCCTCTGTGCAAACAAACAAAAGATATAATGGACGTGTGTCAGAGCGCCATGTGTCAACTTAGTCGATATCATTTGAGCCTGAGTAGTGAGACAAAGGTGAATACACGGGGTTGAATACTTGTGAGAGTAAATGCTACTAACGCTCAGTATAAATGGGTGAGATGAATAATCTTGTTGCAGCGTTTTCTGCAATCCATCTCAGTCGCCCACCCAACAATTCAGGCCCCTAAAAGCATTCACTGTGACGGGATCTGTCTGCGCCTGTAACCCAGTTACTATGACAACACCGATCTGAATAGTTTTCCTGCTGTGTCACAGTCTGTTAAAAAAGGCACACGAACATGTGCACACCTCAAACCGGCAACGCCATGATGACCCAGATCCTTTTCCACTCAGAAGTACTAAGTCAATCCAAAACACGCCACTACGTGTAAAAGCATAGCTAACAATTAATCTATCTGATCTCATAAAAGTGCTCATGTGCTGAAGCGGCAATGGGGAGAAAGCAGCACGTGAGAACGGATGTTCCGTTGTGACGGGTGAGTCAGCAACTTGAGCTCGGAGGAATCAAGAAGTACATAAAGGGGGTGGAATGAGTCACAGTGGTTGCATGACTCGATAAATCAACAACAAGGTGTGCAGGCAATATGCAGTATGGAAACAGATCTTTATGGGAACAATACGTGGTCAGCAGAAATCCCCATCATATAACTGTAAATCGCAAATGCAGCTATATTAATTAGATTCAGAGGGATTTGTTTAGACTGATCATGAAACTCATTCATGCACATCTTACTAGCCTGTTAGCCAAGCTGCGCCGTCACACATTAAAGTCCCTGTTAAAATTTTGCAAACCACAACTTCCTTTGTCTATTCCTGTCATTCATTTACAGTAACGCACAAAGACACTATAAATGTTTCCCTCTTAAATGTCGTGCAAAAGCAACACAGCCTTTTGGGGCTTTTTGCAGAGACAACAAGTGAAGAAAGATATCTCACCTTTGTGTTCCGGTTTGTCTGTTGTGTAGAACATGGAACACACAAATACAGTTAGCGACATGACATTACATATTTAAGTCATACAGTATCTGTTTCCGAACCACAGAAGTTAACCTCTGCAAGAGCGCATGGTAAGATGCTCGATGGGTGAGTTTGAACTAAAGCAATCGGGAAGATATTTTCTTGCTTCCCGTTTATTCAAAGGCAGGCCAGTCATATGTTGTGGGTTAAGCAACTTTCCAGAACTACCCATATACGCGAGACCTACTGCTGCTACTGCGACTGCAAACTTTCTGTTTGTGAATTGGACCGAAGATTTTTATTTATTTTTATTTTATAGGTATTTTTGACCACAAACAAAAAATGTCTCACCTTCTCCACTGGCGCCAGACACAGGTGCTAAAAAGGAGACATGAGAAGAGACAAAAAAAAAAAAAACTCATTATCAATTCAAGATTAAATTAGTTAATTATGTATACAAAGCATAGAAGGCAGTGAAGAAGGAAGGAATAAGCAGTACTGTTATTATCTTCGTGGTAGTTTATACTGCGTAGCGATTAAGAGAATTTCTGTCCTAACCGGTCTGTAAACACACATATTAGAGAGATCAAATCTCTGAAGGAGATGCACACCCTTGATATCTTTCACTTTAATCTACGATCCCTTCAATGCAAAACCCATCCTGTTATCTTGTTCCGGGCTGCTCCCTACCTGCTTCAACTTGATAAATCAGCTAATAGCAGAGTACTAAAGAGGAGCGCATTTCACAAGATTATAATGATTAGACGGACATGGACAAACCCACTTTCAGATGGGGAATGCAGAGAGACAATCGGCATTCAGGTTTTGCTGTGTAATTGCGCTTGGCCGGTGACACTTTCTTGACTGAGGAGGTAAAAATAAATTTGTTTTCTTTTCATGGGAAACGGGGAACGGCACTCTCGCAGTGCATAGACCCCATTTTAGACACAAATAACTCGGGGTTCAATAAGCTGCTTCGCTGCAACCAGGAACATGACTAAATGAATAGTCGTGTTAAAATCTCAATATTGACAAAAGTCATGATCATTTCAGCATTTACGCAGAGATTACACATGCAGTGTCCCGTCCACTTCCTGCTCAAATGTTCTCGTTATCGGGTTGTTTAGGCTAACAAGCTCCAGCATGAAAACATTTCATTTGTTGAAGGTGAAACATCCTGTCACAGCGGGTTCGTCTCACTATCTCCAACCCATTGATAACCGAGGCATTGCCAGAGGCAATGGAAACTGCGAAAGACAGCACAATCTCATCCAAACGGAATTTTCTCCTCTTTTGCGGTCCTGGTTTTATATTGCCAACTGTTTTTGTCTCCACATACAGGATTATTTGTTACAATAACATAAAAAGTATTGTTATAATGATTACTTACGCTCAGAAAAAACGCCCATCCGTCCTTTGCTGCGCCCATCCTTTTCTGCAAAGTTAAAAGCATCAGAAAAAACAATTAAGACATCATTGGTGACAGAAATGCAATACCAATCCCTGTAGGGAAATTCCCTTCTTGCCGGCCCGCCCATGAGGAATATCTTCCAGATGTTCAGCTCAAGCATCTCAACACCACACCGCTGCATATTTAATGATAATATCAGCCACAACGTCCACCCCAGTCCATCATGTGTCCTGCAGTGATTACCCTGCTTGATAAGGACCGTGTAACACTACCTGCTCCGAAGGCTTTGACGGTGATCTTGTGAACTCGTTAACGCAGATTAACGGATATTATCATGCCCCGAGTCCATATTGCTGTGGGAAAACCCCAGGTGATTTATACGCCACGTGGGACTCCGTGTACTCAGTTTTGGGCGGAGCAGGGCAGGATTGGTGAATTATTTTAGACCTAAAAGAAGTCTCGCCGTTAAATCACAGTGATGTAGAGCGAGAGAGAGATTACCATCATGTGGGAAGACAAATAACAAATGGATATTTTAAGTTTCCTTACTCAAAACATACCAACCCTAATTTAGGGGGGATAATTGTTTGGGTCAAAATCTCACCTCATAATCTTCCTAAGGGATTTATACCGTCTAATAGAGAAGCACATCTGTTTCCCATTCAATTTTTTTTCATAGAAAATGATACACAATATTTAAACTGGACTCATCTGGTCACCATTCAAAAGGAAAGCCAACATCCCTTTGGGAAGTTTGAACTGAGAAAAGAAAAGGAAGAAAAATATATATAATCTGCTCGTACACTAATCACATAGTGATTAACTTTGTTTTGAAAAGCACAAGCGCTCTCTAATTCTTCACAGTAATGAAGCCTCTCATGACAAAACAACATCGAGCTCATCCTTCTTTGTCTGTCGCTTCACTGGATTCATCTGCATCCCTTAACGTAAAACAAGTCAAGCAGCGCCTCACGGCAACAAGAGGCCATGCGGGGTCACGTACCCACGGCGGTTGTTGATTTTGGGGTGACGTCAACAACCAAAGCCTCCGAGGAGGCCGGAAGTTGCTCTTGACGGAGTTGAAGGTCATTGAAATCAGGCACAGACACAGCAGAAGAGTCATGGTGGGACACAGTATCTCCCGCAGTTCTCTGCTATCAGACCCCTTCGTTCCAATTGCTACGGTGGAGACGCCGAGCTGTTTGAGAGCAGAGGCTGCTGCAGCAATGCCGTCACAAGACCACATGGCAAAATCAGGGCCTGTGAAACTGAAGAAGCCGTGAAGCGCTCTTCCCCTTTTGTGCCTTAAACCCTTGAACAATGTCGAGGATCTCGACTTTTGTCCCGTAAACTGAACAGCTGTACTGAACCCCTGAGACGCCGGCCTTTGTTATCATCAACAGTGAGGCGCTCCGAGGACAAAGTCTTGCGTAGCTGAGAATCCAGATCCGATCCATCCAACAAAAACACGACATCTCTTCCCGTCGCCTGTGTTTATGTGCCAAACGCCCATGGTACCAAAGTCAGATGATTAAAGTTAACCCGAAGACCTTAACAAAAATGGACTCAATTAATCCAAGCACAGCTCTTTTGTCAAAGCAGCATTGGCCGACGTGTAAATTCAGTCACTTTCTCACCCCCAGTTAGGGCGGCGTCACGGGTGTGACCTTCACGAGCGGTGAGCTCATTAGAGAGGAGAGCTGTTCTTGGACACTGGCCAGCGCCGCCAACACACCCACACACGGTTAGACTGTAATCTAGGGTCGTGTGATGTCTTTTGCAACCCCCCACGCCCCCCACACGCAGTCAGAGGTCGCTGATGCCAATGACGCGCTGCTGGTTTTGAGATCAGAGGCTGGAGCGTCTACGTTGTCAAAAGGCCGTCCACCATTCAGTAGGATCAATACGCGTGGAACACCTTGCAGGTGCCCGAGAAGATGTTGTCCGTGACAAACTGAAGGAAGTCTCAGCTTTCTGACCGCGGGTCTATTTTCCATTTAAAATGGGCTCTTCTGCTCTACTGGACCACAGAGACACAGTCTTTTCTTTCTCGCACATAACAACAACAACACCAACAACAACAACAAAAAGCCCACAAAGCAGAGAATTCATTTCATGCCAAAAATCAGTTGCTCTGGATTGTTTGGAGTCAAGAGCGTATCCAGTCAGTTCAAACACAAAGCTCCATCAAGAGCACAGCTTCAAACATGATTACTAACGCACCGAATTTTCAACTTCTCTCCTTCCTGCCGCGTTTCAATCCGTCCCAAGTGTCAATTTCAGCAGTTTGGCTTCTTTGTGGATTCATTGTTGCCACGGTTACTGAAATAAATTGTGGTGTGGCTTTGTAATTTGTTTAGTCGTGAGGCTTGGCTGCAGAAAGGTCGAGGTTTATATAATGTGGCTCTGAAAATGTTCCAGATGAAGGACGGTCATAATTATTATAACTACCTCTCCAGTGACTAAGGAGGGAAGATTTTGAGTATTATATCTCTTCTTGTTTTACACATGGTTATTATTCTTTGTGCATTTCAAATGCACTTCCCTATTCAAATGAAGAAACATGGCATGTTAATGAAAGAGAAAAACATCTTTTTTACCTGTTTTTTTCTCAGCGACAACCTCAGCTGTTGGCAAAGACAAAGAACAGAGTAAAATCCACATCTAAAGTCCACACAGAAACACTAGAAATACACTTTGAATTACACACAGTCCTTTTCTGGCATGACACAGAATGACGTACTAAATAGATTTTACACGCAGTCCAAAAGCCTCGGCGTGTTTCAGCGAGTGCCTCGGGGGGCTATTATGCAGCAATTATGTATTAAATACAAACAAGGACACAAACATTGAAGTTCTTACTTTCGCGAGTACATGAGAGGCTCATGGATCCGTTTAGCCTTCTTAAATGACGGGAGTGCACCGTATGCACACTTACTTTCTGGGACCATGACCTCAAGCTCCGGGTCGACTTTTTTCACAACAGCTGGTGGAACAGTGGGTTTTTCTTCATCATCTTCCACAGTTGGATCTGCCTCAGCTCCAATCTATTATATATGGATACATCAAATATTAACGCGTTGGAAGGTCATATTCACTTCTCATTAGCATTGCAGTTTCTGAATACATCTAATATGCAGCATATCCACAATTATGAATTGCAGAGAATGCGGAAGCACGTTAGACAACTGTATATATTTGTCAGGGTAAATTGGAATAAGATTGTCGTGTAAGAGTTTCTAACTCTGCTACTGACCTCCGGGGCAAGGGTTGCACCTTTCTCCTCAGTCGTTGGATCTATGACATCATCATCAGCTGCCGGCCCTTCAGTAGGGAAAAACAGAGGGGAGGTTACGTTTTAATCATCCAAGTGATGGCTTGTTTTAATAGATCAATGCATGTTACAAGGTGGAAAAGTAGCTTGCACACAAAACTGCTTTTGCTATTTTTATTTGAATATTAAAAACAACTGTTGATCACCTTGTGGTGTGGTGGCGGCCTCCGCCTCAGGATCAGGATCAGCTGCCGGCCCTTCAGTAGGGAAAAACAGAGGGGTGGTTATGTTTTAATCATCCAAGTGTTGGCTTTTTTTTATAGATGTTGAATGCATGTTGCAAGGTGGAAAGGTAGCTTATACACAAACAGTTTTTGGTATTTGCATATTACGGCTGATCACCTTGTGGTGTGGTGGCCTCTGCCTCCGCCTCAGGTTCAGGATCAGCTGCCGGCCCTTCGGGAGAGAGAAACAGAGGGGAGGTTATGTTTTAATCATCCAAGTAAATGCTTGTTTTAATAGATGTTGAATGCATGTTGCAAGGTGGAAAAGTAGCTTGTACACAAACAGTTTTTGGTATTTGCATATTACGGTTGATCACCTTGTGGTGTGGTGGCCTCTGCCTCCGCCTCAGGTTCAGGATCAGCTGCCGGCCCTTCAGAAGAGAGAAACAGAGGGGAGGTTATGTTTTAATCATCCAAGTAAATGCTTGTTTTAATAGATGTTGAATGCATGTTGCAAGGTGGAAAAGTAGCTTGTACACAAACAGTTTTTGGTATTTGCATATTACGGTTGATCACCTTGTGGTGTGGTGGCCTCTGCCTCCGCCTCAGGTTCAGGATCAGCTGCCGGCCCTTCAGAAGAGAGAAACAGAGGGGAGGTTATGTTTTGCAAGGTGGAAAAGTAGTTTGTACACAAAATGTTTTGTATTTGCATTTGCATAGTACAACAACTGTTGATCACCTTGTGGTGCAGGAACGGCATTCTCTGTCGGCACTTCTCCCTCTGCCTCCACCTCTTGATCGGCTACAGGCGAAGGCACTGCTTCTGCCTCCTCAGCGGTGGAAGTCTCTTCGGGCTCCGAATCACTCGCTGAGGTTGGTATTTCCTACATTCAGCACAAGATATATATATATCTCTAGAAATGATGTTCACATGATGACGGGCTTTGGGGTTTTAAGAACACCTATTTGTTAGCGGTCTCCTTCTTGTACTAAGCACAAGTGATTGGCCAACTTTGCTGAAATACGAAACACAACAGTCAGTCTGAAAAGGGCAAAGACGCCGAGCTCACACTACCTTTTCATGCCAATAACATAACGCTCCATGATACTTGCTATGTTTTTCAGCTATTTGAGACAACTCTGCTTATCAAACAACTGCCTGAAGATTTAGAACTAGATGTTCTTAACAAGGTTGAATGCAGAATGCGCAGAGACACGTTTCCCAGGAACCGCGATTAAAAAAGTTTGGAGGACAGCGACTAAAAGACAAGAAGGTTTGCAATGTCACAGTAACCCAAACTTAAAAATACATAGATATATAATCTAATCTATTTTGGATTCAACCAAACATGTTTGCACTTGGAACCAAAGGGGTTGCTTTATGATTTACCAGCAGAATTTCACTGAGAAGATTGGACCCATTTGAAAAAAGGAAGAACTAAGTAAAAAACAGTAAGCAAAAGTAGTCATTCTTCACCGGGGATGAATTGTCAGTGTTGACGTCAGCGGCGGGTTCGTCTGGCGCATCGCCTCCTTCGGGAGCCTCTGCATCCTCTTCTGGGGCGGCGTCCTCTACGTAGAGAGATGTGTGAAGAAAGAAAGTAATATAATAATAATAATGATGAGGGGAAAAACACACACACACACATTCAATAAAATCACAACCACTGAAGCACATTGATTTCAGAGACAACTGACAGTAGCCGGACACATTTGACAGGCGGGTGAACAGGACCCGGGATCGAACCACCTCCGATTGGAAGTCGACCCTGCTCTCCACCACAGTCGGCCGTGACTGACGCGCACCTCTCTGTGCGTCCGAGAGGAGCGCGGCGATCGCGTGCGTGTTGGGAGTCATGCGATGTGACATTCCACGGTCGCATGTGAGAAGCTGAAACAGCAGATCAGCGCCCGGACTGAGGTGTTCTTTAACTGCTGACTTCAGCAACACCGTGACGCTGGTTCATCGGGGCACAAATACAGGTACCGACAATTAAATACGAGATATAACCATCAAGAAATGGTGGTATGACGGATTGAAAAAGTGCAAAAGAAATGTACAGTAAAGGAGACAGTTTTAGAAAAACTAGAAATTGAAAACATATCAGAAAGAAGAGCTTTGTATCACAACTCTCTTAAAAGAACATGCTCAGACAAATCTATTCTTGATCTTTTATAAGATTTGCTCATTGCCAATTGGGTTTCCAAGGAATACTGTGTGCCAAGTGAGATTGTCTCAGAGACGGCGGATCTTTGAGGCGGAGCGGCACTAACACATCTCAAGTATTTGCATCACACAATAAATTCTCTGGAATTGACCATTGATAGTCACACCCTGACTCCCGTACACACACACACACACACACACACACACACACACACACACACACACACACACACACACACACACAAGCGTAAGACCAAACAAAACATGACTACACATGCCGCATGCAAGGAAAAGAACATTTGAGACATGCAATAAAACTAATTCCTCATCCCGCATCAAAGTTATACGATAACCAGCGGCCTCAACAGTCCATTAAGAATAAAACACCCTTGCGAGCTCAATGGAATGGACAGCCCGGAGCAAATGCTCCAGCAGGGTGTGCGTTTCCGCTTCACGACCTTTATGACTTCGTTGGAAATCACTCTCTCCATCAAAGATCATCCGCGTTACGCCATTCAACTTGTCAAATCAAGTCACGAGGGCAGTCCCGCCAGTGTACAGGAGGCATGTGACAAAAAAGGTAAAACATTGGACAATACTGCAAATAACAGTGTTTAACTTTCTGTGTTAATGTGTCAGAACAGACCCTCTGCGTTTGGTGAGAACGTGTGTTTGTGCGATGCTTTTCGTCTAATAGGGGGACAATCAAACTATCCCGCTTTCAGTTGCCGTAGTAGAACATTCAGTTCCCATCTATCAGTTTGCCACTTCCTCCTTTAACCACCCTCACCGCAAACGTACGCTCATTCAAAACCCCCTCCTAGCCCCCCCGGCCCTTCCCCCAATCCCCACCTGCTATCACACACACACACACACACACACACACACACACGCAGGCCTACAAAGTCATTAAAACTCTTTCTCCACCCATTTGAGTCCAAAACAACCACATGTTCACACTCAGGGAAAAGTTCAAATTCCCTCTGACGCTTCAACTGAGCGATGTCCTGCTTTGACTGTTGCACATCCAAAACCTCACTCCCTTCTTTCTTTCTTTCCTTCTTTCGCCCCTTTCCTCTCTCTTGCTCCTTCCCAAACTCTTAACTTTATTTGTCTTCCTGCCACTGCTTTCCCTAGAGGCTGATGAGTCATCGGTGTCTCTCTGAGATGGCTGCACGCTATTGTACGACTGGAAGCAGCATGTGCTGTGTTAAAAATGCAAAAAAGGCCCACAGAGGCCCCCGATGTCAAACCGGTTTACTCAAGTGGGGACAACACCATAATGTCAGTTACATTGTGGTCTGTTAGGAAACCAGTAAAGTGGCTTGACAGATGGACTCCACGGACACTTTATCAGGAACAACTGTACGTCTAATGCAATCCAGCATGACAGCTGTGCTACATGTTCTTCATTAAAAACATATAGTTGAATTAAAACCTCTCCGACGGAGTCAATCTAAAAGGGTTAAATAGATGTAAATCATCGGATAGAGGGATAAGTTTGAGATTGGACCCTTAAAAAGAGACAGTTGAAAAAGTGAGGTCATTAAATGATCGGTTTGAACATTTTGGCTCATGAGCTTTCCCGCTGTGAGCCACGTAGGACGATGTGTGCGGCTCGCACGGCAAATACGCTCAACGAACACGAGCTCCGTCGGCTTTGGGGAAAAAGTTTGTCCGGACAACAAGTAAAAACAAGTGGGATGAAGCACCCTTTGAGTCTAAACTGAAGTACACGGGCATTGTGGATAAGAAAGCCATTTCAGCAAGTTTGCGTCCGGTTCTTCTAACAGCCATTAGTGTGAAGATTGCACTTAAAAGCGTTACACCTCATGTTAAACACACTTCACAGAAGCGGTGTTGCCGCAGCGATGCCTTGCTGCTGCCGCCACCGTTTCAATATCCAAAAGGGCTGAAACACCTGATAACAGTTCTTCCCTGTAAATGACATTTACAACATATTGGTCTTTTTCTTATGAAACAAAAGACCTTCTTTTACACGGCGGCCCTTTTGAAAGCGGCGGTCTGCATCAATCGGAGTGTGGGGTATTTTAACAACGGGCGAAGGGAGAGGAACTACGTTTCCTGGTGGCTTTCCGTGGTGAGATAGAGTGAGGTCGACCTGTGCGAGCCTGATTAAGTCATATTTGGTGTGCATGCTCCAAGCCTTTCCCTGTAACAGAACACTGTAACCTGTGTGTGCATGTGTGTTAGCTGATACAACAGCACCTCCACAGTGTTTTGTTCTGTCCCGTATGGCTCCATTGTGCGTTTGTAGGACAGAAAGTGCTGTGTTTACCCCAATCATGCACACCTCAAAACTGCCCCCATGTGAGCCGAGGGAGGGGGGAGTTTGTGCAAATGTGTCTGCATTTCACTTACCCTCACGAGTGTTTTATGTGCTGGAAGTTAGAGGTGTAAACACAGAGGGAATAAAAGTACACACACACACACACGCACACACGCACACACACTGTTCACACACCTGGCATGAATCAGTAATTTTTTCTTTCATCTGCCTTATAAGGCGTACACGTGCTCGACAACGGACTCACATTAATGAAGCGCTCCCATATGTATTACAAGCATTTCCCACACCCTCACACACACACACACACACACAGATGCTGACATCCCCGGGGAAGACGAAGGCGCTGAAACTAGTCCTTTGGTTGGGTGGTGTCCACAGCTGGGGCTGGATCTAGTTACCGGGACACTCCCTATTCTTAACTTGCACAGCTTGCACAACGTCCGTGACGTGCACACATCTAGCCGACCTCGCGGGACAATCTTTTTTTATGTGAAACCACTTGCATGCGAGCGAGCGAAACCCTCCCGGGAGGATTTCCTGCGTCACTCTTGAACAGGATCCCTTGGGTTGGAGAAATATGCGTGACGGTGGGAAAATGAGAGTTGTGTGTGTGTGTGTAGGGATGGTTCTTATCTGGTAGTTAGGATAATAAAAAGATCACAACCAACGTTCAACTGACATTTTGTTTGCATACTGAGCACGAGACTCACTGTTCCTGTGACTATCTCGCTCACCCTTTCTCCCTTGGATGTGTTCCCTCTTATCAGTCATAGCGTTTATCTTCTAACATCTCCCCTACTTTCCCTCTATCTTTCCTAGTGTCTTGCCTCAATGCTTCCTTTGTCTCTTTGGGAATTTTATTGTCGTTTGACCGATCTGAAATCAGTACGTGTGCCTTGGGGAAGGGCCGGGGCCCATGGGGCCGGCTGAAGAGAAGGACAAAAACAGTAATTGATGAAGAACCAAAACGTATCAAATAAAAACTTGTGACGTAGAAAGTGGAAAAAGAGAGAGAGAGAGAGAGAGAGAAAAAGAAAGAAAACAGGAGGGAAATGCGTGCACGAGGACAATGGGCCACCACACCCCTGTGGGCTCAAACTCAAGTCCAAAAAAGATGGCTACATTGCACGGCACACCTATTTCACTGCTGATGTCTCGGCTGCAGAGGCGTACAGCAGCACGGTGCCACTTTATTCACTCAGTCAATGGATTTAAAGAAAAATACATATTTCAGCTCAAGGCGAATTGAATTGACATGCAGGCAGCAGGCAGACTGGCAGAAGACACTGGCAGACTGGTAGGGGGGTGGGGGGGGGGGGGGGGAGGGGATGGGGATAACCCAGCCGACCGAAGAAGAAAACAAATATATATAATATATATATATATATGTTTAGATACATATTTAGTTAGAGAGATCAATTGATGGACAGCTGGATAGACACCCACACAGACAGATGGATAGACGTGGGTGAATTCAAACAAAGGCGTCCGGCTGAAGGAATGGCTGAGTTAGTAGGAGATGGAATCAGTACCTTGTGCCTTGGCGCCGGCCGCCAGCAGGCTCCCTAACAGCAGGATCCACAGGTAGGACATCACGGGCACACGGCGTTCTGGCTGCGATCGAAGCGGCGCTCGGACCCTCTTTCTTCTGCCTCCGAAGTGCACGACAAGCCGGCTCGGACGTTTCAGGTGGACCCGGGAGGTGGGAGGAGGGAGGAGGTGCGGGCGGGCGACTGGTGGTGGGGAGGGGGGGGGGGTTGCGCGTGCGTGCGTGCGTAATGTCGGTGCGTTCTCGCGCGTCAGATCAGACCCGTGGAGTCTCCGCGGATTAGTCGTCCTCTCCTTTTGTCTGCATTCGGAGGAGAGAAGGTCCGGTCTTTATTAAGGTGGGCGGGTCTCGCGTGTCGAACACGTGCGGCGGGCGGGAGCGTGGAGGCATCACATCCCCGCGGGTCACCACGGCGTGGATTTGGGGATTTGGGAATGAAGGGATCCCTTCATCAAACCCGTTTAGTGCGGGAAAGTCCCCGAGTCTTCGTCCTTTTATAAATACACGAGGACAAAGGAAGATGTTCCCTTCGGGAGAAAGACTCGTTTTAAATTGTCCCGAAGGTCATTATGTCCCATATATTTTAATAGCGGGTCAACGGCCGACAAGATACACGCCTTTTGTTTGTCTCATGTGGTACAGGAGACTTTTTCATTAACGTATTTGCTATGATTTAGGCAGCCTGTATCCAGAGAGTACAGAGAATTACGGGATTTGGAAATGAAAGGCTTTGGTCTGTTTATAATGTTAAATTAATGTCAGGGTTCCATTTGAGGAAACCACACGTGATGTCATGCAAACCAACCAGCAGGAGGATTCGAACAAAAAGAGCACGTTGCTTTCCTTTCCTCTGGCTCCTCGTTTTCTCACGAGCACTTTGTCTCCTCTGTGCCAAACCGAGTGTTTTTTTGTCTGATATTGATCGGCAGAGGACGCCATTCGTTCACGATTTCACTGTTCATATCTCCTTTTTTCTATGAGGCATTCATCCCTAATTCAGATTTGAAGAAAAACCTCCCAGGCGTTGTCTCGCTCGTCCGAGCGGTGTCTCATTTTGAAAGGGCCTTTTTTGACAAGTTAAAGCAATTAGGTTCAAATAGCTACTGTGCACAAAACAGATTTCAGGAAAAGCAGAAGGGAGCAGTCCATGTTCCTTTGTCTTATAACATGATTAATAAATTGCACCTTACTTTTTTTATTTGCATGACATTCGAAGGGAAAGACCTCAGAGCAGACCCTGGATCAAAAGCATTACTGAAGAACACTCTTAATAGTGTTTTGTTGCTGAAAACATGTATTTGTCTCCACTGGATCATATTAGGCGTTAATGCACGTACCCGCTACTGAAGACATTGTGGCATAGTTCCCGTGTCAGGGAGCTAAAAGGAAGAAAATGCCTGTGTGATATCATAATTTATGCGTGATGGGACTTGACAGGCATCCATGAGTCAACACACACCCACCTGACTCCCACACTAAGTGGAGAATGACACTGATGAATCAGTGGTTTGGCTTTTTAGAATATTCTCATTCAAATTCAACTTCCTTAACAAAGTTCCCGACCTTGAAAGAATTGCTTCTCTCATCTGTATATTTGTGTTTCATGTCGTCCAAGCTTTAATTTAAATGTCTTTTTTACAAAAATGCAATGAAAATAGTTTAAAAAAAGCAAAATATGTTTATTAGTGTTTTAGCACAATGATTACATAAACTTGAAAACAATCTCAATTGACAAGTTTATTAAAAAAAAAAAAAAAACATAAAGCTTTAATTTGGCATCATTTCAGTAAACTGATTATCAGACGGCAGGTTTAGGAAAGTACCCCTGCACGACTTTTACAGGCCCGTTTCCTTCCTGCTCAGGTGGACATCATATTAAGGCAGCAAAAGTTCGACATCATTGGGTAATTACATGTATTAAGCAACAATTTGAAGATCCAACAAAAGAGATGTCCACTCTTTGGTCAGTATTGTTTCATCAATATCGATCTGAGGCTTGTCTGAAACTCACGTCTTTTATTTAGTGCAATACATTAACATCAGAAAAAGAGGCGAGGTGGATGGACAGTGGGCACAAAGTGTTTCACGAGACTGATGTTCATATTAAGGCTATAACGCTTGAAAGCAACAAGAACTTGTCTGTCAGGCACTTATGGTTGCACTTAGTACATCAGATGCAATGATTATGTCCCAAGAAAAAGAAGAAAGAAAAAAAAAGAAAGTCTCCATTTAGTAGGTTCAGAAAAAGAGTCTCAGCTGTAATCGAAACCTTGTGAGGCTTTCGTGACTTTATTATTACTCATGGCTCGCTGCTGTGCTCTCCACTATACAGACTAGTACTTGGTTAGAAGCGGTTTGGTCAGCTATTAATTAATGACAGCATTAAGACTGACTTCAGAAGAAAAGGGAGTGGTCCGTGTTTCTTTTCCTTAAAATAGGATTTCTTAGTTTCGATAAACCTCCACTCTACTTTTATTTAATAGTCTTTCAAGATCATAAACCTCTTATTTGACGCAGGGAAGAAGTAGTGGTAGAAAGATTCTTCTGGAAATATTGCTGGCAACAGCTCTCGCACACATTCCCCCAAAAACCTGCCCTTTGATGTCATTGTCCAGGTCTGCTACATTTGGGAAGGGGAGTGTAACTGAAATACACTGCACAGCAATGCTTTTCCCAATAGGCAACTATCATGCATAAGTGCATAAGGATGCATGATCGGTGCAAGGAAGGAGGGAAGGGTATTAGAAGTGTGGGTCATGTGTAGTAGGAGAGCTACATGATGAAATGGCCATGGGTACGGTGCTGTTGAAGACACTTGGACTTAAAAAAAGACGTGGGTCCACTAAATAACTCTTGTTTTTTTCCGAGACAGAATCATACAACTCAGGAAACCAAGTGAGCTCAGTATTCTTGGATCCCATGGACAGTTTCCGTAATACTGTAGTTTAACGGTTTGCCGATTGTGTAAGAGTTATTAGCTGGACGGTGGCTCACATTTTGTTGAAACACTCCTTGGCGTTGGACCACACCTGGATTCCCTGAGAGAGACAAAGTGCAAGTTGACAAGTGTGCTTTAGGGTGACAAGGAATGGGGATTTAGAGCAAACCGCTGAAGAACCAACACCACAACAGTCCTGCCAGTGTGATGAAGTCGCTTACTTAAAAAAAGACAAATACATTGTGGAGAAGAGCCCCTTACCTTCTTACACATGCTGATCTGCATGATGGCATAGCTAATTAGTGCTTCGCGCAAGTCTCTGTCCTTCTGTTCCTTGAAACGTTCAATGTCTTCGCAGGCCGTTCGCACAAACTCTCTGAAGACACAATCACAGAGACACGCGCCAATCTCAGTCACTTTGTGCGTCATTGGAGAGGGACAAAATGTGGTGGTTTTAGGATTACCGAGTAATACGGCTGATGTCTTTTAAAATCACACTTAATAACGTAGTTCGACACTCTGACTTTAGGGAGCAACTCCATCCATGACTTTGTGTTACAGGTGGTGTGCAGGTTCACACTCCACAAGAGCTCGCTCAAAGTTTAATTCACACAAAATCAAGTGAACTAGTTCATGTTTCTGATCTACGCTTACAATTCTTTGTCGTTAACAGTTTTCAATTTCACTTTCATTAGTTGCAAACATATTTTTGTGTAACCATGCACACCACCCTGTGAAACAGTAACAATATAGAATAAGGGCAGATCGTGTGTCTAATAAAAGAGAGATGAGATTGTGTATTTCATGGTAGACAAAAGAGAGGGAGGAGCTTACTGGCACTCTGTGTTCTTTTCCTTGAGCGTTTCCTCTCCTTCACGGATACTCTGATCCAGGGCGGCCAACCTGCTCTCCCTCTGCTCCTGGCTCTCTTGGCCGAACAGTTTACTGGTCATCCCCTTCAGAGAGAAGACGCGTACCGTCTGCAAACAGACAGACGAACACACACACACACACACACACACACACACACACACACACACACGTTGAGTTTTCATCAAAAATACCAATTTGTTCATTGATCTCACTTGTCATGCAGTGTTTATTTGATGCAGTCATTATAGAGAACATTCCTGGTGTGGGAGAAAGTGAGAGATGATAGACGAGCGTGTGAGGACCTCACCCCAGTGGTCAGATCCTCTTTCTGTTGTTTCTTATGGATGAGGTCCTGAGCCACCATCTCCAACTCATACTGGATCAGCTCATGCTTCCTACACACTGACCTGAATTCACAAAACACACTCAGAAATTGACATATTTTCAAAATTGGATTAATGCATTTTGATACAAAGATTACACAAAACAGATACTTCAACACAACAAATGACTAAGACAGAAGAGATGTTTTTTGAATTAAGAAGCTCTTGTTGATAACTACAGGTCTGCACTTTGCAGGGCTCTGCTGAAAGATGGTTTACGTATACTATAATTTAATATAATAAAACATTTGCATTCGCGCAGTTACATGTAAATGTGTTTGGAATAGAAAGAACAATGAAAACATTGAGGGGGCATCACAAAAAGTCAGTGTTGACATTTAGAAAATCTGTCCCCTAGAAAAGCTTAAAAAAAAAAAAGACAAGATTGTGTGTCTACAGCCACAGACCCTGAACCAGGAGGAGGGGTATTCTGTTCCACGAGCAGTTAGCTACATGTAGCTGATGTATGACACATCTTGAGCACATACAATACGTCTTCAAACCAAATGGTAGAAAAGTGTGCCGATTTTGTAGTCTCTTCTGATGGTCTATTGAAACCAGTGAGAGCATTTGCTAAATGACCTAATATTACCATTGAGCAGCTTGACTGACCTCCTTTTGACTGGTCTCTCTCTCCCCCTCTTCTTTAAACACACACACTTACCTGACAGCATCAGTGTAGAACAGGTATTCTTTCAGTTGGTCTGCGTAGTGCTCTTCTTCCTCTAGAATGTCATCTATTGATGCGGCATACCTGTGCACACGTAACATCCAAAGGTGAAACAAAGCGAAAAATAATGCACCGTTTCAGAATGTGTTCAATTTGGTGGTTCAACAACTTGTCTAGAACTGCTTTAGTAAACACATTTAGGCGTAAGCTGCGATTGAGTGTGTGAGAGGGAGCAGTAGTTGAGGTGAAACTTTATTCCACTTACGTGTCCATGTGGTGTCCCGCACTCTGTAGTCCATCCCCCATCTCTTTTTCAATAGCGCTCCACTCGCTGGAGACACAACATTAGGGTGTAATTCTGCAACTCTCCATCCAGCCCATACAGCCTGGAGAGCGATTTGCACGCTTTTCTCATGAACGTTTACAGCTTTATTTTATTTACTAAACCATCTCAAAACATACAATTTCAGGTAAAATGCAGAAAACAAAAAGGAAACGGGGACTGGAGGAACCACCTTGAGACCCCCTTTAACGCACGAGTCATCAGTATGCACGCTTCATGTAGCGGAAGTGGACATCCGTTTCCTTTTCTTTACTTTTTATAAACGCAGTTCCCTCATTTAGGCCGAAACTACGACTTAATGTAGAAAGGCAGCAAGAATATAACAGGTGACCTTTACCTGAATACTCTGCCGTAGTTACCGTGGACCTTGTAAACGCCATACAGCCTGTCTGCTACTTTCTAGTAAAAAGAACAAAACAATAAAAGAAATTATTATTATGTGGTTAGAATAAATAACACTGGTAGTGTAGTGCTCATAGAATAGAACTCACACAGGCCAACTATGTGCTACTTGGAATTGAAAAAAAGAAAAAGTAAAAATGAAGAATTACAATTTTTCTCAGGGGTTAGCAGAATAACATGACAGTATGCAAAAAGAAAAAAGCTAGAAAAGACAGAATATATATTTTGTGTTTGTGTGTGCGCCTTTTGCACATGTCAAACTCACCGCCCGCACCCTCAGTAACTGAGAGATGACAGAGTTCAGTTCATCGCTGTAGAGTTTCAGTTCTGTGAATCGCCTGCAGAACAACACAAGGATCCCAAGTCAAACAGTGTTTAACTCAATCTGAGCACGGTTGCTCTATTGTGTGACAAGAAACTGTAACTAATCATCTTACTCCTTCCTACCTGTTATGCCACCAGGTGAACTTGGATTCCTACTTTTTTCTTTAGAAATCTATTTCCAGATGATCCAGAAATCTGACCATATGTCCCGCTTTGTATGAATCCCCTATGCTTTGTGTTTTTAGAGGCAAACCAGCGAAGTCGGTTTTTCACCTACTTGTCAGGGTTCTTGACTCTGTACATGGCACTCAGAGACTTTATTCTGGAGTCAACCTGGTGGGGAACAGAGTTAAACACATTAACAGGGTTTTATTTTGCATACGGCGCACATGAGTGGCTTTTTGATATAATGAAGCCCATCATAAAACAACACCGACAGCAACCCGAAGCAGACAAACTACAATTAACTTCATACCTTGTCTTGGAAACCGGTCTCCAAAACCGCCTCCCTCCAACCTTTCTCCTGAGCACCCGGGATTGACAAGATGACGGCAAAGGTTCAGTTAAAAAGGTGTGACAAGAAAGACAAAAGGATTCCAAAGCTTGGGAGAATCAACCAGGTGTAGTCATTTCAATTAGAAGAACCGTTCTCTGCCCCCTTTTTGACTGAGCGGGACAGAGTAAGCATGTCTGCGTACGTGTAGAAGGACTGAATGGGACATAATGCGGAGTGAGGCTCGCGTCTACCTCGGTCAGGAAGAGGAAGAAGATTTTGTCGTTGGAAAGGACGGGATGCGATGCAACCCGTAGCAGGAAGTTCTCCAGGCCGACTCTCCTTCGCTCAACAAAGTCTGGGTCGAGGTTGTCAGCTGCCAGTTTGTGCCACACAAACTCTGCCTGCAAAAAAATAGAGCTGTGAATTCCAACTGAAAAGAAAAAGAGCACATCCACTACCAGGGGAAAGGGAGAACAAATAAAGGGATTCGTCTCATTAATAAACTACACATGAAGTTTTATCAGTAAAAGTCCTTCCTTAGGTTTTATTTTTTGATTAAATCAACTGTCCTTCCACCCGCAGAACATGCGACTCACCCTTTTCTCTGGTAGCGGAGGGACGATGATGTAGGGGTGGGTGACCAGGAGGTATGTCCTGAGCAACTCAAAATCACTGTAGCGTCTCCACAAAGTGTCAGGTGCGGTGGGAGTCTCCCCCTCTGGAACCGTTTCAGCTGGCCTGCAGGCAGAGGAATGGGAATAATACCGTAAAAAATGGGCTACTGTTCTTCTTCAAAGCCATTTCAAAACACAGAATGAGCAACATAATTACATCTGGCTTTTACTCAGTAGGGAACTGGAAAACAAATCTTGTTAGAGGCATTGGGAATACCTTTTAAAGGACTATGAACCGGAGGACAAAAGCTACTTAGCTCGAATTATAAATGTCGGTGTAATAATAATGAAGTCACATTTTGACAAGGTAGTGAATGAAAGAAAGCAATTCTGCTCATTAATCAGGGGGTTATTGCACAAAAGCACAATAAAGAAATCCAGGATAACTAGCTTGACTTAGTGTGATCGGCTCATTGCGGCTTAATCGGTTGCACGTTTGCCGAGCCGGGATGAGAAGGGGGACAAGTCAACCCAGGTGTACATAGCTGGGATAAGTGCACGTTCACGGCTTTCTTAAGTTGACCACGGTATCCATCACAGATTTACTGATTCAGAAATGGAGAAGTCGCGCGCGGCATATTTGTAACTCGCTGAGCAGCAACAAATTATGGAAACGTATGAGGAAGTGAAGCATTTACTATGCAAATAAAGGGAAAACAGCAGCTGTAATTAAACAGAGAAAAGCCTGGCAGACAATCGTAGACTGACTGAATGCGGAAGGATTTTAAAAAATCTACCTACTAGGAAAGTTCTCAATAAGCCGTGTCAAATATACAATTAATGTTCATACAGAACAAACCAGACTGGACAAAAAAGATCCTGGCAACAGGTCAAGATAAAATAAAAACCAGCCTGCAACATTTTGCAGGCTTTATCTAAGAAGAAGGGGCCACCAGCACCAGTCTTCAGACCAGCAGAGGAATTGGCCCTTGTTTTAAACCAAGGAAGGCTTGTGATGGAAAGGATTGAGGGTGGGGCAGCTACTGACTGACTGTGTTCCACCTGCAGAAACTGCCTTCTTCATACATGCTACATTCTGTACTGCACATCAAACACACTGTGTGATGGTGAGACGGCTTCGCCCTGGTCTGATCTGTCCCGAAACATCCTCTCACGTCTTAAAGCACGTCTCAATATCAGTGCTTTCTCATCCAAAACGTGGTTTAGAAATGGGCATCATGGTGCAGACCAGAGGACACCCCCCAACGTCGGCCGGTCGGTCCGCCCGCCTGCAACGACTACTAACACCCCCCAGTTAGTTTGACGTGTTTGTTATCTGCCGGACCTTCTTGACCGGTCCGCGAAATATTGTCTGACATGAAAACGGTCCGTGAGGCAAAACAGGTTGGGGACCACTGATCTAAACAACTGCAATCAAACTGGTGACAGCAATAGTGATGCAAGTAATGCAGGTTAATAAAAGATGAATCTTAATCCCTTATCCTAGTTTCGTGCAATAGCCCCCTGGACTCCCTTAACGAGATTAAAAGCATAATAGGTGTGTGTCTCTTAAAGCAAGTCAAATATTAGGATACTCAAAGATGCACAGGTCTGTTCCCAAGATGGCAAAGAGTTTTCCTGCTGACTTATAAATCCCACTCTATACACAAAGTCCCCTTTTACACAACAAAATAACACCGTCCAAGATAAAAACACCGTTTTCTTTTGTGCTGTTATTACTGAAGTGTCGGCTACTCTGCTTGTTCGCATCAAGACACACAGCAGTTCGTGACCCACCGTATTTCTATGAGGTAAACCGTGTACGTTTCCTGCATGTTCACCGTGTTCTTCCCGGTTCTCTTCTCGGCCTCCGCCACATTTATCTCCATTTTTTTCAACAGACTCGTACCTCTTTCCACCATCTACACAGAAGAAACAAATACTGCGTAAGCAAAGCTGGAATGGAAATAATATCTTATATTATGTTCCAAACACGCTGACAACTATGAAAACAGATGAACTGATGCGGGATGATTTACGGTTATCACCATTCTTTAAAAAACATATGACGCGGTGTCATAAGGCGATACAACCACCACTAAATACTAAAAAAGGTTGCTTATGTTTCCGGGAATTATCGCTTCTCACTAGAAACCACAATAACTAATTATGGATTTGCATGACAAATTGTTCCCTGGTTAACTTAAGAGCTAATTTGAGGCTTAGCTTTATAAGCTAAGAGCAGGAAGTTTATAAAGTTAGCTTCAAATGACCTAGCGTTGCTGCTAGCAGCTCGCTTTGCCACTTTGTGGGGCTATAAAGTGAGCTGAATTCGGCTTTGAGGCCCCGTTAACAGCAGCGTTTAAAAGAGAGTAACGTTAGCTAGCTGCGAACCACCAACAGCTTAACTTGCACTCCACGTAACGTCAGCTGAGCTAACAGCGCGCTCGGCCTGTCGCTCAGCGTCACATCTGGCTTTTAAGCTAAAAAAAATAATAAAAAATAAGTTTGACCCAGAACATTTTAAAAAGTACGACCGTGTTTATAATGTTGTTCTCGGATTCGGTTGAAGTTACGTCGGTGTTACCGATCACTGCGACTTCATCGATACGTCCGGAGTCTGCCATCGCCGTCTGGCTGCCGGGGGGGAGGAGGGGAGGGGGGGGGCTGCTGTTGTCAGCTGAGCCGAGCGTTCACTTCACGCATGTGCAGTTCAGACATAGTGCTTAAGGTTCACTAAACGAATGGTGGTCTTATAATATTTGACCGTATGATTATATGTAAAATTGCAACAATACGGTTAAATGTAACAATGGTACATTTATGGTATAGTTTCAATTCAGCACAACAACCATTATTTTAAAATGCTTGGGATTAAGATTATTGTTCAGAAATGTGCATAAATCAAATGATGGTTTTGGAAGTTTCCATGCTGGATTCGTGAACCCACTGTGATATTACAAAACATTGTTTTGTAAATACACTTAACCATCCTCAAATGAATCTCTATTATGTCCATATTCATATTAATCCATGGAGATCTGTATCTACATGATGTTAAATATATAGAGGCTTTATTCATGGCTCATGCTGCAGTGTGACGTACTTTCTGTCACGGTTTGGGTTTATTTCCTGTTTTATTTTGTAGTTTCCTACCTCTTGTGTTCCTGGGTTAGCTTCACTTCCTGCCTTGTCCTGTCATCTCTGCCATTGTCCGCTGTGTCTTTTACATTTAAGATCAATGTAGAAAAAGTGAGAAATATGTTGTTGTCTCGGCCGGAACCTCAGCTGTGGTACCTCGTCTGAGCCTTTATGTCACTCTTCATTTTGATCAGTTACACTTTAGACTCATGAGGCCTCACCTCATTGGTGAGATTTAAGCTGCATGATGCAGGCTGCTTCTGTTATATCATTTTATTTTTTAGACAAAAAAATGAATAAAATATTTTTCAACTGTAATAGAGAATTTAAAAAATATATTTTCCATTATATATTTTGTATTTTATATCAAGTGTCTTTACTATAATAACAGCACATATTGATTCTTTGGTAAAAACTGACAGTACACCAGAGAGGAACACGTGACCTTTTAATCACTGAAACGCAAGATAAGTATGAAGCTTTAACAAGTTCTAAGTTTCCACACAAAACAAAACCTGCTGAACAGAATTGTGTACAAGTAAATACCATACATGCAAGCAGACAAGGATGCAAAGTATATTTTTTTATGATTGTACTTAAGGTTAATTACTTAGATATAGTTAGTCTTGATTATACATAAGCAGATTTATTTGTCATTTTCTTCAAGATGACATCCACCAAAATGAGAAAAATTAAAACATATATTTAAATGGTCTTGTGTGTATGATATATTGTGTATAATCAACTTCACCAGGAAATATCTGCAAAGCTGAATTTGTTAATACTTTAAATTCTAAATTGTTTGCGTCCATGTTTTGCTGCTTTGTGGTCGTCTGCCTCTTTTCTTCTCCTGGTGTGTTGCTGCCACCAGCTGGGAGTCAGTGGAACATCATCAAGGGTTTAAAAGGTGACTGAGCTGTTGGAGTCCACTCGGTCCACGTCAGTCAGTTCAACTGGAGACACTGGTCCTGGGAGGGGGGTTGCAGTTTTTATGAAACATGGCGGCAGAAAGTCTTTATCAGTGAAATGTTTACAGACTCACCTTGGACTGTGACCTGGTATTCAACTAGTGCTTTGTCCCCTTGAAGCGTTGCTGCTACAGCAGAATAAACCCCACTGTCGGCCTCTTGTAGATTCATCAATATCAAAAAGAATCTTTTCTCAGGAAACTCAAACCTTCCCTGCGGAGCGTCTACAGACCCTGTTAAGACAAATGCTTCTCCACTAGCAGCAAATCTTACTAAAGTGACTGTTCTATTGAATTTCCAGTCAACAAATGAAACCTGCTCAGGAAGATCAGCATCAAACTTCAGGAGCAGATCATGTCCCTTCTGCACAAACAAAGGCGTCACAATGGGCTCTGTAAAAACAGTAGACACATGATACAATGAACATTACACACACTACATGATGAATCATTCATTGCTGAATGTTACTCCATCCATAGACTTTATTTCATACACATTGAACCACCGGTTCACACACCTTCAGCTCATCATGACCTCTCAATGGGTGCAAGAGGTCTCTTTAAATGTCTCACCCAGGACAGAGGACTCTGACTAAGGAGGTGGAACAATTGTTTTTACGTTTTTATTTGTTTAATTTCCATTTCAAAAGAAAACCTGGGGACTTTCTTTCATCTTGTACACACACAATTTATCATTCCGGTGTCGTGAATGTATTTATAAAATCAGACAAAAAGTATTTGTTTCCCCAGACTGCAGACTGAAAGAGTAACACAAGTAAAGCTTGTGTGAATGTTCACTAGCTTTGATCCTTTTCTCTTCTGCTTCTTTATGTGTTCATATAAGAAAATGTGAGTTGTTTTGGACAAACATGTTGTGTATGTATTGTAAGGGCTTCATAAAGCTACATTTATTTTAGCATACTAATAAGATTTTGGCACATTTGTTTTTAAATCTCTTAAATTGTTGTACTGATTTGTCTTTAATTCTCAGTGTTGAAAAGAAAAAATATATTCTTTGCAAAAATAATTGTTGAGTTTTATTAATAAGCAGAATTTTTTTACTTTTAAACTTTAAAAAGTCTAAAACATGTTGGTCATTTAAAAAAGATATAAAAGAAGTTTAGGTTTTGTATTAAGTTCCCCTCAAGGTTTTCAGAGTCACTCCTTCTCCTTGGATGTGTGACATGTATACATGCATATATAAATATTATGTATCTATTATTACTAATACTATATAATATATAGAATAAAGACCTCTCTGCTGTGTGGGTTTCTTACCTTGAGCCTCAATGCAGACGAGCAGGGCGAGAATCACAAAGAGAGACATGACGGAGTCTTCGACCAGACGCTGCAACAACCTGCGTTCTGCTCCACAATAAACTAACAGCTGGCCTCTTATTTAAAGAAGCTCGGAGGCGTTTGCACACAGCTGCTCGTCATCAGACTCCTTTTGAACTTCCTCTCTGAGCTGTCTGACTGCTTGAGATCTGAACCTGTAAAGAGAGATTGAGTTCTGCCCTTTGTCAAGGAGGCTCATTTACACATAAAAGTTCATCTAAGTAACAAAGTACAATTATTCATTTCAACTTATTCTGCAAGCTTCTTTAAAAGACTGTCTAATTGGTATTACCACTATATTCTTTAAATGATTAATCCCTTTAAGATGAGTTACTTCAGCTACTGCATGTTGCTCCATAATGGTCCCTGCAGGTGCTAAATAGAACCTGGTGGCTGCGCATGCCGGTATCGTGAGATCTACAAACTCTGGACACCACAAGTGGATGTGAGCCAGAGGACGTGCACCTCTTTAAAGTACTTATTTATATTCATGTGAGTATGTTGTAATGGATGCTTTTCATCTTTGGTCCCTGGGACAAAACCATTATTTGGGCGAATAAAAAGGACTAAACTGTATTATTATTAGACTCACCATGAACTGTGACCTTGTATTCAAACAGTGGTTTGTCCTTGAAGCGTTGCTACACTAGTAGTCCAGTGCAAACTCCACTGTTGGCCTCTTTTAGATTCTTCAATATCACAGAGAACAGACACTTCTCCACTAGGTTCCAAATCTTACTAAGTGATTTATTGCCATTCCAGTCAACATACAACACACATTTTTTAAAACATTCCCACTGAAAATAGCGGATGTGTCCAAAGAAAGAGGAACCTGCAAAAGCAACTTTATTCAGAAATAATCCTGTATATTAAATATTAAATTAACGGTGATAAATGTTTGAACATAAATAAAATATGAAACTACAATATAAAGATATAAAATAAGTAATTGACATGAAGGAAAGAAGTGGATAACAGGAAGTAAAGAGTACATTTAGCAAATGTATAATCCAAGTTTCATCCTCTTCCTCTTTTTGAAGATTGTTAAGGTTTCGGAAGGCTCTCGAGGGAGGACTCAATCCTTTGTTCTCGTCCCGGCCGGAAACGAGGACACGAATGAGTCAATTCGTTTAAATTCAAAAATCAAAAGTTATTTAATAACTGAACAACGTAATAGGGATACAATACGAA